TCCGCTCCCAGGCAGACAACGCACAAACTGTGTGTGTCTGCACCCGTAATGAAACGCGGGCAGGGAGGAACACACAGTTTGAAACGCTGGCTGCCTTCGCCCCTACTCAGATGGTGTTTTTTTTCATGTGCTTTAGACATTTCTATATGTTTCTATGGGACAGACAACACCAAATAAGACTCACAACTGACACACACACAGAGCACTTGCTGAATGATAAAAAGCTGGCGTTGGTCTCACCGCACGTGCTTTTATAGCTTCCTGGTCATTACGTCACCCGCCGTGACGTCTCGCCCATCTATTGGTCTGATTACACACGAGTTTCGGAGCCCGTCACGCTGAAGGGCGTTCCCCTAGCGTTTTCCGACGCAGCTCGAGTTCCTGAAGAGGAACCAAAATGTCAAAAATTTTCTGTTTGTTACCAGAAAAAAGGTAACGAGGTGAAATGGAAGCACAGGAGACTTGAATAGGCAATGATTTCAGTAGAGTTTGACATTAGCATGTTGCTAAGCTTATGATTCGTTTTAATTACACTGAAATATTACTACCTTTCGGAATGACCTTCACATCTGGAGTGGCACCTACAACTCCTTCAAACACTCGTTAGGTCTTGAAACAGAGCTATTGATTGATATGAAAAAGTCTGTTGTATTCTCTGTGAAGTCTGTTTGGGATCAGTTCTGAGAGAAATAGTTCAGAATCACCACTGAGTGAAACTTTTTAAGTCCCCAGGGGTTAGATGGAGAGGAGAAGAGACTGCAAGTTACACAGCGGCACCAGTTACACATAAGTCAAAAGAAAGATGTTGAACTCCATTGAGTTACTTCCCTCAGACCTCTCCATATACAAAAACAAGGTTGTACTGGTCAATAGTCGGGCTAGAAAAACAGTGAGTATATATAAATATATATACTATTGACCAGTACAACCTTGTTTTAGTATTTGGACAGGCACAATAAATATATTGTACTCTATATATTACACTAGCAAAGATGATTTTTCTGTCATTTAACATTTATTGACTAAATACTTTCTATTTAGCTCATGCTGTTCTTTCCAAGTGATTAACAGTATGATTGCTGGGAAAGTTTTGTTTTGTTTTAATAATTAATAATTGGTTTTTATTTAAGACTGTGGAGGGCGAACCTCCAAAAATGATACATTATAATTATAAAGTATGATTGTAAAGTTAATAAAGAGATTCTAATAAAAATATGAATGCTATTTATTAAAGCTTTTATTTCTTACCTACAGCTGTCTATGAGCAGTCCTGTGAGGCCTACAAGCATTTGGGGAGATCATCTGATTCCTACTGGATTGACCCAGATGGAAGCGGACCATTAGGTCCTTTTAAAGTCATCTGCAACATGACAGGTAAAATGTGCAGTTTTTATTTATTTGTGGCATACCATAGCACTGAATCCAAAAAGCCCACCGATTGCACCTGATTAATAAATCAAGCCTTTTACTGAGTATTACATGCTTTCAAGGTCCCCTGTATCCCAAGCTTCTGTCAGGTTTTTTAAATCCCTCCTATCGCCTTCAGAGACAAACTTTTATTTCAGCATCTCAACCCATTTGTTTTCAAGCCTACTAAGCATTATCTCATCAGCCTAGGTCCACGTCATCCCACTGATCCAACAATAAATAACAAAAAAAAATACATGTAGGGACATTCAAGTATGTAGGAACATCAATACATAAATTGTTATAATTTCAGGGCAGGAACTGTAGTCATCTTAGAGCATATGAAATCCCTGAGAGGACACGGTAGAGAGCAAAAATCATTCTGAAAAGAAAGTGTCTGTCAATTTCAGAAATGTGTTATCTTCATTTAACATTTTTATTTTATTGTGAAGGGTAAATCTTGTGATTCTTTGAAGTGAGAGGGATTATGGCTACAGGATCAGGTGGATTTGAATAATATAAACAAAAATTGTTTTTTAGAATGTCAGTTTTTATTAGGTCCCATTAAATAAAAATGAATACATGGAAGGAAATATTGCCATAAATAAAGCTGTTTACACTCATGGATCCAGCATGCGTTAAATCAGTTTGTAATTGCTTATTTAGTGATTTGTTACTTTAATGAGAAAATTCTTGTTTTCATAGGTCAATTTAAAAACAAAGAAAAACATTAACTTTTTCTTAAAAAATAATACATTTGGAAACTTCTTCACTGTGGTATGTGTTTTGCCCTTTTAGCTTGATAAAATTCTAAGATGATTATTCATTATGAATCATTTATCATTTGTTTTTAATTATTAATTAAATATTATGTATACACTACTGTTCAAATGTTAGTCGTCATTACCTTTTTTAAAGAAATTAATACTTTTATTCAGCAAGGATGCATTAAAATTGATCAAAGTGGCATTCTGAAGGTTCAGCTAATGGTACAGTATTAACATATATTTTGATGAATCTGTCAACTTTTCTTGCAGTGCCAGTCAGTTTACCTTTTTATGACCATTACTGTATCTGGGTTTCAGAGGACAAGGTTTGGACGACTGTGGTGAATAACCTACCGGCGCAGACAGCGGTGACTGGCTCCAGCCGGGAGAGACGGATGGTACTGCAGCTGAACTACAGTGCCTCTGTGGAGCAGGTCACAGCTATAACCAACAGTGCTGAACACTGCGAGCAGCACGTATCCTACGCCTGCCAAATGTCACGCCTACTCAACACACCAGGTACAGAGAGATCGTCTGAGTGTGTGTGTGTGTGTGTGTGTGTGTGTGTGCACGCTTGTGTTGCAGAGTATAGATGCTTATAGGGACTTGTGGGGTGATAGAAGGTTATCTAAAACCTTGAATAAAAAATTTAATTTTACCCAACTGTACTGATACTTCTTACTGGAACAAATGAGGGTCAAGTGTCTTAACGGGGTAAACTGATGGGTAAAATGGGATTGTGACCTTAATAGCCCCTCTGTGGCTGATACGCTCCCACTCTCCACTGCTCTCTGTTTGAACCTGCTTATTTTTGGCGATTTGCCCAGTTGCTCAACTGCAATACCACCCCAGAACGTGGTTTGTGTTGGTTGTTGTTTATGGTTTCAGGAGAATTAATGTTACGTTTGCTCACTTTCTATGCGTATGTGTGGGCTAACAGCTGGACTTTACAACAAATTAGTGCTAAATGAAATCATAACAATGCAGAAGTGTTTCCACAGAAAGAATATAGTTGAATTGTTAGAGAAACAAGTTAACTAAGTATGAACACATTTATGAACATTTTTCCTGGTTAACAGGGTGGGCAGTGTAAGATTCACTCGCTAATAGCTCCATGTGCGCTCTTCTAATTAGCTGTTTATGAGACTTAAATGGACAAGCTGTTTATGGATTCTGCAGAAGAATTTGTTAAATGTTAAAATGTAACAAGTAAAGTAAATGTGATGAAAATAGAAGGGTTTTTCAAATCTGTTCTCAAGTAAAGATCTTTGAATTAGTTAATTATGTGGAAAAAAAACAGGGCTTTCAATTTATGTTAAGCATATTTATTTAGCATATATGGTAATAGAGTATATACTAGTCAAGTCACCTTTATTTGTATAGCACTTTATACAATACTGGTTGTATCAAAGCAGCTTTACAGGAAAATAGTTTGTCAATAATGCAAGAGGACAATAACAACGAGTTAATAGGAAACATATATGCTATTGTTAAAAAGTTTGGGGTCAGTATGATTATTATTATTATTATAAATATTATTAAATCAGTACTTTTCTTCAGCAACAACACATTCAGTTGACCAAAAGTGACATTAAAGACATTTAGAATGTCTCAAAAAAAATTTACATTGATGATAAGACATTTCTTGAATGCCAAATCAGCATATTTGAATGATTTCTGAAGGATCATGTGACACTGAAGACAGGAGTAATGACTGTTGAAAATTCAGCTTTACCACCACTGGAATACATTACATTTAAAATAAATTTAAATATAAGCACTTATTTCAAATTGTAATAATATTTCACAATATTACTATTTTACTGTATTTGTGATCAAATAAATGCAGCTTGGGGGAGCAAATGAGACTTTCAGAAATATTAAAAAATCTTACTGACCTCAAACCTTTGTACAGTATTGAATATAACAGGGGTTCTCAAAGTTTACATTCAAAGGTCCGAATCTGAATTATCATCAACGTCAAAAGGCCCGAAATAATTGTTATTAAAAAACTTGTTTTTAAAGGAACACTCCACTATTTTTTAAAATAGGCTAATTTTCCGGGTCTGGCGGTAGCACTTTTAGCTGCAGCTTAGCATAGATCATTGAATCTGATTAGACCATTAGCATCTCGCTCAAAAATGACCAAAGAGTTTCGATATTTTTCCTATTTAAAACTTGACTCGTTACATCGTGTACTAAGACCGACCGAAAATGAAAAGTTGCGATTTTCTAGGCCGATATGACTAGGAACTATACTCTCATCCCGGCATAATTTTCAGTCGGTCTTAGTACACGATGTAACTACAGAAGAGTCCAGTTTTAAATAGGAAAAGTATCAAAACTCTTTGGTCATTTTTGAGCGAGATACTAATGGTCTAATCAGATTCAATGCTGAGCTGCAGCTAAAAGTGCTACCGCCAGACCTGGAGATCGGCTGAATGGATTCGAAAACGGTAAAACTCAACTGTTTAACTCTTGGGGAGTTGGAAAATGAGCCTATTTTCAAAAATAGTGGAGTGTTCCTTTAAAAAACATGCTTAAAACTTTATATAACAATTAACTTTATATATGCTAATTATCACATTCATGATGACATCAAGTCGTACTTGCGTTTACGTTCTGAACTGTTACATAGTACTGCATTTTTATACAACTAAATGCCCAATAAAGCAGTTCTCATTTACATATTTTCTGTTTCTGAAATAGTACTTCAATGTAACCTGCTGTCACTTCAACTGAATTGCTAAAATCTTGAATTATAACTGCAATACGCTGTTATACAGCAGTGAATTATATTACTTTATTGTATATATCATGCAGCAGAAACGTCCGTCTGTGTAACAAACTATGTGCATATTTACAGACAAACTACATTCATGTTCATATGCCCAGACAGTCAACAGTGATAGCTTTTTGGAAACGCTGTTTTTTACTCATTCATTCACAAGTCTGTTGCGGTTCGGTCAGTTGAATATGCTGCTAACTCTGCCGGTCGAGAAAAACCTTGCGCTCGCAGGGCAAAACAGGTGACATTATTCAACTGAATGAAAGCTAAGGTTTATCCAAAATGTCGCTGGTTGCTATACGCTTTGTCTTACAAAAAAGTAGGTAAGCACTGCAACACTGGTTCGTGTGCCCCTGTGTGTGTCGGCGTGTTTGTGCCACAGAGGTCTGAGTGATACGAGTGCACTTAAAATACAAAGTGGTGGGTCCGATTCGAATTCCCTCGGACCGGAATCCGGACTTTGAGAAGGGCTGGTATATAATGTCATATGCAGTATAATGCTGATCGAAAGATTTTCCTATTCTTTCTTTCTCATATAGCACTTCTTCTTCACCCCACAGCTTGCGATCATTCGCCTTCTCTCTCATTTATTTGCTCTTCCATGCTCTGCCAGTCTTTGCCACTATCCCCTGGCACTCCTGCGACCCATTTTCTGATTACAGTTAGCAATAACAATTTGCAGCGTGGCTGTGGCGCTGGGTGCTGATGCTAATCTATTAATGAGCATGCTGCACAGTGAAGGCTGCTGTGCATGTTTTTACTGCTAATCTGACTTTGGATAAAGCCTCTGCTCTTATTGTGGACTTGTCCTGTGGGATTCTCTCCCACTGCATGTATGACTCTATACCATCTATGTTAAATTAGGCATGAACAGAATGTCAGTCTCAGTCCACTCTATCTGTACACATAGGCGCGGATCCCGTGGGCGCTTGGGGGGCTCGAGCACCCAGGGGAATGGCAGAGCACCCATGGGAAAACCTCTAGATATTCTCTATTCACTATCATATTGGCAAAACAGATCTGGCAAACTATCCAGTGCATATTTGTGTCTGCACTCTGGAGAGCGTCAAAAGGTTTCTACTAACATCATGTTTTTTGCAGCGTTGAGCAATGTAGCCCATCACAGGCATATGTCTGTTGATTTCTTGAACACTATTGCCAGTCAGAGGTGTTTAAGTTAGAATCCACTGACCGCTCAAAACACCAGAATTTTTGTCTTGAGTTTTTAAAGCTTGCGGATCATTTCATTATAATAAAACTTCATGAGATCGCGATGAACTAAGACGAGAGACAGCTTTTTAGTGATTTTAAAGGGAGTGCTTTTTGTGTGTTTTCTAGGCTATGTATAATCCATTCAGAATTTGCATTTTTGGCCACATGCACATGCAGTTTCGGGAATGGCATCCGCATATTTATGCAGGATTCACACTCGAAAGAGCAATGGACGGGACAAAAATATATGTGAAAATGTATGTGCATTGAGGCTAGAGCACACTCAGTAATTTCTGAAGCACCCTCATTATTTAATTCTGGAACCGGGCCTGGATAAAACTGTGTTTTAGATAACATTGCTCATATGTAGGCAATCGCATGGAGTTCATGGTAGTCTATGCTTCAAAGTCGCAGAAATGAACAGGATATTTGTTAATTTCCTCCATAAAAATATCTTTACAGTTAGAGTAAACATTAATGCACACGGGCTTCATTGAATACTGTATCTGTTGATTTTTGTCTTATGTGGATTATTTGTTTTTATTTAGTGTGAATCTCTGGTTTCTACAACTCTGATAAGTAATAAACAATGTGATATGCAGCTGGCCAATGTTAACTTTATTTTAATTTTTTTTTTTAAAGTATTTACCCCGTTTGCTTCTGCGAGGTATCCGTTACACATGTGTTAATATCAGTATTTATGACTGTCGAATGTCTGACAACTTGACTCTTGGTAATGTATTTTTCAATCCGTGTGTTTCTATTCACGAACTGAATTCTTCACCTGGTGTACCATCGCACGGAGAAAAAAGACTTGAAAAATGAACACCAAGTATAGGCCTATAGTTTAAGTTACAATATAAAATAATTATTGTTCAATTTAATTTAATGTAATACTTTTTAAATTCCTTATTATTATTATCATCATCATCATTATTTGTGGTATGATATTTTTTGTGCATAAAGCATTTCATTTTAATTTGTAGTAAATTAAATTTGTATATTATTATTATTATTATTATTATTTTATAATTTAATTTAGTTTAATTTAATTAGCATTTAATTCAAATTTAATGAGTGATTATAAATTGTAGTTACTATTAGTAGGAGTTGTAGTAGTATTGTTTTATAATATTTTTGTGTAAAGCATGTCATTTTAATTTATTATTTTTAATATATTTTATAATAATAATAATTTAATATGTAGTAAATTAAATATTTTTAAATACTTTTATAAATTATTATTTTTATTTTTTTATCATAACATAACATTATTATTATTATTATATTTCATAATTGTTTTCTGTCTAAAGCATCTTTATTAATTCACTTTTTAGCTTTGTTTGTTTGTTTGTTTGTTTATCACTATGGGCACAAAATACAATGCAAGACTGCTCACCAGAGTCTTGTGGTCTAAACACCAATTTCTGAATCGCTCTGCTTGGTAATGACATATATTTAGTGAGATTGTGTGTGAGGTGGGAGTGTATGAGACATTACATGATGAGATTTACAGAGTACTTTGTTTCACCTTGTTGTGTAGTGAAGGATAGCTGGCGATGTGCACTGGACTATGCCTTGTCCATCATAGCTCTGCTCTCTGGCCTTCAGTCATCTTTACTGAAGAACAATCAGTGCTGTAGTATGTAGTTATGCGCTGTGTTGTCAAACGTGTAGGATGGACAGTGTCCCTCTGAGTGTTTATGTGCCCCCATGTCTAAATCAATGCCGTTTTATAGTTATGCATGATTTATCTGTTTGATTGACCTGTTAAATGTTTCCAGATAGCTTTGTGTATCTTATAATAGGCAGACAAGATCACATTTTGGGGATCAGTGTTGTAATAGCAGGGAAAATAGTCAGCCAGTCAGCATATTGACAGAGCATGAGCATCAGATGATGAGCATTAGTGCAGATTTGTGTAGTGTCCATGTCACCAGAAGCAGCATGTTGGATTTTAAATGGAATTTAATAGTGATTAGTATTGAAGATTAATTAAAATAATTAATTGTTAACGATTGGTTTTATTAATAATTTATTTTTCTATTAGCCAAGTTAGAACTACTTGTTAAATTCTGAATGATACTAAAGAG